ACATGCCTTCATCAAATAAAATGAACATATGAGAGCAAGTCTCTTTGATGTGTGTTTTCTCGTTCCATTTCCTTCTTCGTGTAATCTGTTTTCCAAACAGTCGTTTCCCACAGTGACTCACCAGAGGATATTGATTACAAGAAATGTTTCTCTTTATTCTGGGGAAACATGCTTGGGGTGCACTTCTGCTAATCACACAAAGGTGTGACATCGAGGCTGCTTGCAGCATGCAATGGAAAACAAGTCGATGATAGGGACCGTGGTCTATTTTTGATGATTTAATTATTTGTTGAAAAGCATACAGCCATTAAACCAGTGGAATGTACTTAATATTCAATTTTATTTCTTTGGTTGTACTAATGGTAATTAGAAAAAATGTTTTTGTCTCTTTCTATACAGATATGTAAACAATATATGCGTGCAATTCATGCACACAAGAAACACTGGTTTGCGTGTTTGCATGTTTCTTAAACCAACAGGTTTAAGATCCTCAAGAAAAATGCTGAATTATTGTGTGCTGGGCGTGCAGCTAAATTTGGAGAATTCATTTGATTGGGTTTGTTTAATTGTACTCTAGTGTGACACCCGTTCCAGTGCTGTAAGCTCCATGTGTCTGTTCCATTCCCAGTTAAATCCCAGAAAGTCACCCATGTTCTCGTTTCCTGGATGTTGTGTTATTATAAAGCAATTCCTCATGCTGCATGGTTCTGTTCTTCATCTCAACAGGAGAAACTCTCATAATGACACAGAAATCAGCAGGAAAAGGCAGCAAACACATAATATCCTGCATATTTAGCTGCTATGAGTGCAACCAAATGTTTTGTGCCTTGCAGCACCAGAAAATAGTTTTGGCCCTGACAGTTGTTTGTTAACTAAACTGGATTTAGGTCCAAACTTACAATTTTCTTATTCCCTTTTGTTATTCTTGAACCGTCCCACTGTAGACTAACTGTACTCTGGATACGAGGTACTTACTGTGGAATCGGTTTTCAATCTTTACTTTTTTTAAATAGTCCAATATCAAGAAAAAAAATTAACTTTTTGTCTCCTTAGAGCAGTTGTTCCAGAACTCCTCAAGATCTTACAGGTGCCTCTTTGATCTGCTGCACCGTTACATATTCCATTTTTCTGATGCTGGAGTCCTGAAAACTGACCTGGGCTCAGCCAAGAAAAGGGGTTCTTTGTGGCTTCCTGGATGTTTGCACTTATATCTTTTAGAGCCTTTGGCTGGACAGTCACTCCTGGGAATATTGGCTGTCATCCCAAACTCTCTCCAGATTCTGATTGTGGACCACTAGAGTTACAGAGTTTCACAGGCAGTTCTGTAACCGTCTCCGGAGTGACCTACAGAGACATCAGCAGGTTCTTCATGGAGAACTTTAGAAACTGCAGGTTTGCCTCTATGACCTTAATTTAGGCAAATTCACTTTAGCATTTATATTTTGCCAAGCTGGCCAAATTAAGGCATTTGCCAAACGATTTAAAGAACTTAGCCTAATTATCACCTTTTTGGGTTTAAGTAATTAGGGATGAATAGCCTTTTCCACTTTAAGGTTGAATAGCAGGGGCAGTGCTTAGCACTGTTGCCTCACATTTCTGGGACCAGGGTTCGAGTCCCTGCCGTGGCTCCATGTGCGTGGAGTTTGCAAGTCCTCCCTCGGCCATTGTGGGGTTTCTTCTGAGTAGTGCGGTTTCCCCCCACAATCCAAAAAGATGCTGAGGTTGACTGTAGTTACCAAATTGGCCCTAGGTGTGAATGCCTGGTGTGTGAGTGTGCCCTGTGATGTGTTGGCACTTTACCCTGGTTCATTTTCTACCTGGAGCCTTTGGACTCCCTGTGACCTTAAATAGAATATGTTACAACCGAAGATGGGTGAAGGATTTAATAGCCTCAAACAACCAAAGCGATAAGCACCTAAAGTTTCAGCATTAGTTTTTCTCAAAGACTTTCTGCTACAAGTAGCAAGTATTGAAGAATGTCATCAAATTCACGGTCCTTGATATATATGGTGGTATTATATACAGAAGTGAGCACACAGACACACATTTTAAATCTGAGTCATATGGAAAAATAAAGTGGCACATTTGGCTATTGTCGGATTATCATGACCTGACGAGACACTGTTCATTATTCAAATTCATGCCAGTCCCACTTCTCAGAATGACAATCTGATATAAAAGTGACTTTTATCACCTCTTGATGTGGTCATGGATCATAAAACCACAAAATGGATGGAAAGAACTGGAACAGTCTTGAAAGGGGAACAAAAAATGCCAGTCAATGCTGAGTATTCGCATTTGCAAATTGAATCCAGAATCTGAGGGAGCTTCAGTGTCATGGAGGGCAGGTTGCAGTGTCCCGGGGGGACTTGTCTATATTTTTAGACAAATCTGCATTGTAAAATCCTGGTTTAATCCTGGTTCTGCTGGCTGAAGGCTACGCTGAGAAGCAGGCCGCTTCCAGGCTCAGAGTTTCTAAGACAGCAGTATACAGGAACAAGGTGAAGCAGGAGACATTGGGAACGACAAGAAACCAGTCAGGTAAACGATATTCTAATGCCAGAGATGACCGGTAACTTATCTGACAGTTTCTTCTGAATCGTAGGAAGACATCAAGTGACCTTCAAAAGGAATGGGAAACATTAAGTGCAGGTGTGAAGTGCACTGCTAGGACAGTTTGTATCAGGCTCCTAGAAGCAGGACTGAAGTCCCATAAAGCAAGGAAGGAGCCCTTCATCAGTGAGAAATAATGAAGAACCAGACTGCATTTGCAAAAAAAACAAATATATATTATCACAGACGCTGTCATGCCCCGATCGTCCGCTCCTTCAGTGTGCCACGCCCCCTCGTTAACCCTGTGTGGATTCCCTGTGTTTACCAGCTGTTCCTGATTGTTGTCATTAGTCCATTGTATTTAGTCCGCATTTCCGTTTGTTTCCCCAGTCCGGTCATTGTAATGTCAGCCTGTGTTTTGCCTGCCCCTTTTGTTGCCGCTTCCATTAAAACTCCGCGTTCCCCGATTCCTGGCGTCCTGCGCTTTTGTCTGCGTTCCGTGTGCCATCAAGCGTGACAGACGCCACACATAAACTGAGAAATGAGTGAAACAAAAAAAATTGTGCTGTGGTTTCCTATCTTTTTCCATGGCTGTATTTACTTCATTTCTCATGGTCTATATTTTTCAGTGGAAATGTCTTAGTTGTGATCCTCCATCTTCCACTGGACCCAAGTGAGGTGTAGTTTATCTAATGTTTCCTTCAAATGATTCCGGAAATTACTGAACTTCAGATGTTGTCTGTATAGTTCTAGCACTGATTTAAGTCTGACTTTGTCTAGTGCCCCCCAGGTCTGAGAGATATGTGATTTATGCAGTATTTATTTTTATAACTGTCTGCAAGAGTTCTTAGATTACAGACCACAATATAGAAGCAGTATCACATTACATCATGTCTTAGAATGGATACATAATTAAATGCCTAATTACATCACTGGTAAAGGTTGAGGTTTAATTGACCCCTTAACTTACTCTGTAACATTAGGTTTTGCAGTCACCACTAGTATATCATTTTTACATAGAAATTAAGGCATATTTAAACAAAGAGGCTATTATTCATCTTCATGTAGCCAGTTGAGTATAACATAGGAACCTAAAGGAAGACCACGCTTAGATTTTACTTTGTAGCTCAGGAATATTTTAGCTCTGGTAAGCAGTACACAATACCTGAGCTTAACATACCAATGAAAACAACCAACCAAGTACAGACAATCCGGAATGGGCAGCGAGTAAGGTCAACTTTGCCAGAATGGGAAATTAGATTGAAATGGCTCATTTAAATTCAATTCTAGCTTTTGGGCTGAATTCAAATGCCATTGTCTGGCTAAGATTTGACAGCATAGCAGAAGTATCTTCATGACTAAGTCAGGGTTTATCAGCCTCTGATCTGTTGTCAGGTTTTCCTCGTTGCTTCTGAGCTGCAGCTGCACATAAACGTATCGCTGTTGGTGTTATTGGGCTATGAATGACCATTATAAGAGGCAAATAGTTATAATTATAGCAATAAGCCATGCATATAATCAATAAGGATCATAACAATCGTACTAAACCTGGATATCCTGGATGTGATGCACTGCAGGCAAGTTAGCAAAGGTTATGTGATGAGATTCTGTAGTACTGGGTTTTATTCTAGTATGTCTTCAGGAATGGATCAAGTCTATTTGTGATGCCTTGCAGTTACTGATAGTTTACAGAATTAAAATATGAGACAAGCAGTACTGATGAACTTTAGTTCATTTTTGCAAACATAAAGCTTTCATCATACATGTTCTTCACACATACCTTTGCCTTGGGTTATAGAACTTGTTACACTTTCTGCTGTTAATTTACTACATCAGAAAAGTATGTCCTAATGCCCTTGGGGAGTCTCTGCTGAGACGTGTGGGAATGACCATTAAATATTCCCTAAGAACATTCCCCGAAATCGTTACGGATCCCTGGGGTATGATGAGATATTATGCACAACTGACCTGAGCTTTGAGCTTATGGGAGCTATCAGCCAGTTACTCAGCACTGCGGTTTTGGAAAATGACGACGGGTTTCCTTGCGCGAGTCAGAGTGTTTGTTTTCGAGCGTAGTCTGGAGCTTTTATGCTCGATTCCAATTTTCCATTCTTTATTCTCTTCCCTTTGCTTACATCAGCAAAGTCAAAATGTTCAGTGATCCCGCAATTCTGAGTTCCCCGTCTGGATACAATGATACAATTTATGTTCCTAAAATACAATATGCTCTTGGCAGGCAATGCAAAGCTAGAAGCTATGCTGCAATTTACGTATCCAGTAGAAGTTTTTCACTTTGGTAATAGGCTGCTTGGGTTTTTTTTTTATATAGTAATCATCAAACAACACATGTTTTTAATCAATCAAAACAAGAGACCCTCAGTTGTGTGGCAGGTCAACATAGATGCCAGTGCTTCTCTCATGACTGAAGTTTGTGTTTCTGTTTACAGGGTCAAAAGGGGCACCCTGGTCATCCTGGACACCCAGGAGATCCAGTGAGTATACTTTCTGTTTGCTGATCCCAGTTTGGTTCCGACGGGATTCACAGAGTTGCATATGTCTTTCTGAATTACAGAGATATTCCCATTTCAGAGACCTTATACCAAGTAAGAGGTTGAAAGGTGTGAGGATGAATTCCTAACCTGAGTTCATCTGGGCAAAGTGGTACTGCTGGTACCTCCTTCATTACCCTAAGATGATCAGGCAGCTCTTTTCTGTACACACTTTGCTGTCTATTGGATTGTTTGGTTGGTAAGTGGCCATAGCTTTTGAACTTAGTGTGGACAAATGAGTCGTCACTCAGTATTCCGGATGCTCGTGGTAATTCTATACTCCATTTTTAATGTTCCACGGAAGTTCAAGAGCAATTCATCTTTCGAGCTGAACAGCCCTCATAAAGTCCTCTGCCAAACTTGGTTGAGCCCCAGTGCTATAAAAGTTTTTGTATGAGTTTTTGCTCCAGCATACATGCATAGAAGAAGCTTCAAAATGCTATTCACATGCTGTCTGCAGCATGAACAGCATTAGGATCATTTATCCTAGTGGAGTAAATGAAATACTGCTATATACTGCACCACTGTGCTTGGAATGATCCCATGGGAAAGTCCAGGAGACACATTTCCAGTGTTCAGCCCAGTTTATTTTTAGCTCTTACATTCAAATGACAAAAGATGATGCTCATCAGCGCTGGCAATGGATGGAAAAAGTGTGAGTCAGAGCTGGAAGCCTTTTCTCCAGGGTCAACTGCATGACTTTCCTTTTTGAAAGTTACGGAAGTCGTGGCCCATTGTGAGTTTGAAATGATTCCAAAAGCCCTTTTTTAATTGACTTTGCAGTTTTGTAATATCAAAATCAGACATTTTCAGGAAGCTGCAAGGTTGATTAATACCAATAACACATTTGACTGATTAGAACTTTAGTCTGTCTTGTTATCACAGCTCTGCGTGGCTACTGATAATGTCTGGAGAGTAAATACATATTAATGTTACCTAACTTTAACAAGGCTGAGCAGAAATGTAATTTAGAGGGATGAAGTTTTTTAAAATACATAAAATTCTAGAGAACTCAGATGAATAGGAGTTTGTCCGTGAGTCAGAACCACGTCAAAGGACGTTATATGTGAATGTATTTGCACGCAAGTAATCCTGGCAAAGCAATTTTTTACTCAGAATGGGCCATATGGTATGAATATACCTAACAACAAAAAATAAGACCTTATTTCAGGTCAGGTGCAAACTTCCAAAAACAATATTGAGTAAGCAAAGGCCTTTTGTGGGCAGTTTGGGGGGGGGGGGGCACATTTAGGGGAGAGCTCATAGCCCATAGCCGTGTGGAACACTGATCATTTCTCTCTGTCTTCCATCTTTCCTCAGGGACAGAGAGGCCTGGACGGAAACCGGGGGGACAAAGGTTATCCTGGCAGGCAGGTGCAGTAAAACGTTTGCTGCTGTGCTGGCTAAAGTTTCGCACAAAGTAGACATTTTTGGGGGACTGGGAGAGTAAGACCGGGTTTTCCACCATTAAAGAGTCTCATGAAGGCCTCTGCCAGGCCAGCAGAGATGGGTATGTGTGTGGTGGGGGGGCTTTCCTGGAGACCTGGGACATGGGGGGTGAAGCAGAGTTCAGCTGAATGTCTTTTCTGAAGTTGCAGACTTCACTTTTGTAGATTGTATGAGAGACCGAGCAAAATGTCAGAAGTTATATATCTCAGCCTTAAAAACAGTAAAGTATCTTTCCCTTTGGGTAGCTGTTGGACCCTGGGGCTTCCATTTAGCTGCTCTGATACCTGTGCTTGTGTCTGCAGTATGTTATACTGCATTGAATGAATTGCATTGCATATATTGTATTGAATTTCTGAAAGGCAAGAAGTCTTTAAGTCCCTCGCAACTACAAAATGGAGCAAAGTATTCCAGTCCTGCACAACACCGAAATATCTACGAGCCCGTCACTGCTGGCGCTCTCTGATTAATCTCACGTGTTGTTTTTTCCTGATATATGCTGTCTGTTTGCTATAGGAGCCCGATCCATAAATTATAGCCAAAACCACTGCTGTTAATGTCATTGAGGATGGAAAAGGGGGTTCTGAGCTTTCCTTGACCCCCACCCCCCACCCCGCCCCCCCCTTGTCTGGGTATTAGTTACGGTCTTCACTGTGTTGTTTCCCATTGCAAATACGAGATTCAACAGCTGGAAAACCATTTAATGGGAGCTTTAAACAAGAGCCGTGTCAGGTCTGGCCTTGGGTACGCCTTCGTCAGGGTGCCTCAGGTCTGGCCTTGGGTACGCCTTCGTCAGGGTGCCTCAGGTCTGGCCTTGGCTACGCCTTCGTCAGGGTGCCTCAGGTCTGGCCTTGGGTACGCCTTCGTCGGGGTGCCTCAGGTCTGGCCTTGGGTACGCCTTCGTCGGGGTGCCTCAGGTCTGGCCTTGGCTACGCCTTCGTCGGGGTGCCTCAGGTCTGGCCTTGGCTACGCCTTCGTCGGGGTGCCTCAGGTCTGGCCCAGCCTGATCGGCGCTGTGTGGCGCACATTGTCTGCGCCTGCAGCCAGCGCTCTCGTTTTAAGCCCCATGCATGTGAACGTGTGCCAGAGAGCCCACGCTGTCTTCTAAACACGCATGCAGATCTCCCCAGAGCAATGAGCCGCACTGTGACGGATCAGGCTTTACCGCCCCCTGCCACCTGAAAGCCGCTGATTGCTGCATCAGCTCCTCATAGCGCCTGTCTGCCAGGGGATTCTCATCGTCGGGGGGGGGGGGGCATTCAGGGAGAGAGCGAGACAGACAGAGAAGGAGTCTATGTATTCCCAAGCCTGCAGAATCATTACACACACTTTCATTATCACTATCATGATACGTTCATTTTCTGCTTCGGTGAGCATGAAATTAAACTAAGGTTAGCTAGGGTGGCATCTGTAACTAAATATGGGTGATGCTGGTTTGGCTTTCATTCAGATCCTGGTCTGGAACTGAACAATCAAATTTATTTTCACATGTACAAATAAATGGGGTGAAATGTTGGCTTCTCTGATTTTAATAGCATTTTAATGTGTGTAATACCACAACAGAGAGTGTATTCTTCAATGTGGCCGTAGAGCCGTCTGTTCCGTGCTGTTAATCTATGATGTTTTCTTAATGTTTCAATGTTTTTTTTTGTATTTCAGGGCTTACCTGGGCCTGTTGGTGTTATGGGGCCGAAAGGCGCTCGGGTGAGTCAGATTTCATCCGTTTGTATGAGTATCTCTACTCCCTATGTGCCACTTAATTCATTTATGACATAATTGTAAGACTGTAGCCACTGTATATTCTTATGCAGCTTATTGCTCACGTTAGCCTGACTGGGACTGCAGTGAACCCTGGAGCAGACGTATACAGAGCTCATTGCAGAGCCCCTGAGACCTGGGTTTGAATATTCTCACCCCGGCAGAGAGGTTCACTGTATGGGGTAAAAACACTGCAACATGAAACCAGCAGTCCTGAGCTCACCCTTTGTTGAAAATGCGGAATGTCGTGATTGGTTTTCAAGGAGCAAGCTGCCTGAACGCAAACAAGACTGAGAATGGAAATGTCATCTGTCTCGCTGGACAAATCAGTGCTGGATTCCACTTCTTTTTCATGGATGTTATTTGGGTGGATGGGGAAGTGAGACCAGTGTTAAACAGAAGTTAGATTTTCTGCTGTTTTTGGCACTCGCTGAATTTACGATGAATTCTGCCTCGTTAGTTATAAACACTATAAATGTGAGCACTTGAAGACTGAAGCTAAGACACCCCTGGGTCATCATAACGTGACCCAGTATGAGATCAAATTTTAACAGCCTGTGTGTAATTTAGTCTTTGCTCATTGTTAGTGTGACTGAAAAAAGTCATTTAAAAAAAGTTCTTTAAAATGTTGAGTTTTTATTGAAAGTGTAACTCTTCATAATGGGAGATTCCAAATATAATGTTAGTTTTGAATGAGGAATCTTTATTTATTATTTATTGATTGGAACACTGTGTTCTGCACATCTCCTGCAAGTCATGACAAAAAAATCGAGCTTTCGTCGTCATGTAAAGGTAACTGTTTTCACTGTCTTCTCTTAACTCAGTGTATGTTGTATAATTAGCACTATCCCGGTCTTTGCACTTGCCTATACACTAACGGCAATGCAGTTTATCAATGGGCTTTGTTAGAAGCTTGTTGGATATTTACTGGTCAGTAAGGAACGCATGTCTCCCCGGTTTCCACTGAAAACCTGCTTCATCGTCAGATTCGGTAATGCTTTCCAGAAAGCATCACTCATTGGCCGCAGTTCTGCCCTAGAGAGGTGGCTGTCTTCCTGCTTGTGAGTTATGAGAACCAGTGAAAACAGGAGACTCTTGGAGGATTCGAAGTGTACCTTGGAAAAACTATTATCAGCATTATGCTGAAACAGTGGTGCTGGCTGCAGGCGTTTCCAAGGGATACCACATGTCTATAAATTAATCTTGACAAATTGACTAGGTTAATTTGGTGCCTGGGTGGGTAGAGGGCCTGGTGCCCCATGTCGTGGGTTTAAAGGTGTCACTGGCACGTCAGCACAAGCATTCTGACTAACGTAATAGTGCTACTAAAATCCCAACTGCTGTGTTCTCTCCACCGTTATGCAGAAAACAAGGTACTATACTGCACTTTCAAGCACATACACATCCATAAATTCTGGACTTTTTACTGGCATGGTTTTCTGATGTGGTTTGCTTTTCCCTGCTCAGGTGATTACATCTGTGGTATTGTGTTACTCCGCTACCATACCGCTGTCGTGGCTCGTGGTGGAATTTCCATTTTAAAGCCTGTGGTTCTGAAGCCCCGTTTCCTCTTGCTCTTGAGGTCCGGCTTGGTCCTGCGGTCCACGGGCAGAACACTGTTCTTGCTGAATGTCCGATGTTGGCCCATTCTGCCGCCTGTGTCTAACCCCCTTTTTCTTCCCCGGGCCCAGCAGCCGATGTGGATACATCAGTGATCCCTGGCGTGAGCGTATGTGCCCTTGGACTACATCGTGGAAGCCAGCACCATGCAGTCCATGGGCATATACACTTGCCTCAAGGCTTAGTTCTTCATGGAGATCCCCAAACCCCCCCTCCCCCCACACACGCTTGGTCTGAGCCACATGGAAGAACTGGCTCAAGCCCCCGCCCCCACCGCCCCCCATCCCGCCCCTCATGATGCCCTGATACCCAATAACCTCACGCCGTCTTCCCGCTGTTTCTTCCAGGGCTTCATAGGTGTCCCTGGGCTTTTCGGCCTACCTGGCTCTGACGGTGAAAGAGTGAGTTTCTCCCGATCTGCCCATCCTTCTAGATGAAGACCCATGCAGATAACGCCTCTGATACTTGCCTTGGCAAACCCGCTGAGGCGGGGGAGACTGACGGGTCTGGGAATGCGTACTTGTGTCCAAACTTCACACATACCTGACACGTCTGAAGGAAGCTGCTCAGTCCACTTAAGAAAAATCAGGAACACGTCTTGCGCGCGGCTTTTAGTCGCGGCCCAATCAGTTTCCAGGAAGTTGCTCGGCAGTAGTGATTCCCAGCCCTTAGCCATCAAGAGGCGTGGAAACAGCTCAGGCTGGCTGAGCCGAATCTGAGTCGGTGCTTTATCATGATGCTCGTCCTTGGCAGAATTCGTTTTAATATTGATGGTGTCTAAACATTCAGTGATTTCTCTTTTGCTTTTCATTTTTTTGATTTCCTTCTTCTTCGTTCTTTCCTTTCTAGGGTGCTCCTGGAGTTCCAGGGAAGAGGGGGAAGATGGGTAGGCCGGTAAAGTTTTCTCTCAACATACTTTATAGATAACAGTCATATGAGATATTTACAACACCGCCATGTTTGTGTGTTAAAGGATGATGTCCCCCTTAAGGGAAAAAGACAGAATAGGCCTCTGTTTCAGTAAGAAGCAGTACATCTTATTAGGAGGAAACTCCTGGGAGATGTTTATTTGTCTTTTCGCATCCCAGTCTCCACTAACGGGGATTTCTATGATTTTAGTATCATAAAGCTGTGGTTTTTGGTGTTGGAACTGAAGACAGATCATCTGTAAATAACTGTATTCCTGTCGCTCATTTCCCCTGTGAGTCACGGAGGTGCTCAGCTTTATAATAGAGATGCCTCTGTTTCCCTGTGCTAGCATGCTGCCATTAGCAGCTACCTGCTTACTTCTGAAGGTCCTTGTGGATGGAAAAGCTGTAGATGTATAAGCTGGTGGTGATATGGGTGGGTGGTGTATGTCTTGGCGTGTTAGGATGCTGTACCTGTGACCAGTAGGTTGTGGGTCTAAATCCCAAGGCTTGGTAGAGTGCTTTCACTGTTGGACCCTTGAGCAATGGCCTTAACTCCCAAAATGCCCCAGGGACTGGCTGACCTGACCTGAGTTCTGAGTCACTTTGGATAAAAGCAGCTGCTGAATACAGTTTATTTTGAATGCTGTTCAGAGTTTCTCCTGCTGACAGGAAATTTACTGTCTTTACTGAATATTTCAACATAATCTGTCCACAAGAAAATTAGTCATAGCCAGCTGAGGTCAGATTTTTTTAACATTCATGTTGTGGAAAGGTTTGAAGATAATGCTGCAGACAGGCAAGCTAACAGGCATGCTAACAGGTTTGCTAACAGGCATGCTAACAGGTTTGCTAACATATTTGCTAATAGGTTTGCTAACAGTAGGGTGACCAGATAATCCATGTCAGGGAGGACACTCTGAGCTAGGACAGGAATTGTAAATTACCATTTCAATTAAACGGACCTGGATTTCACTTGAGCACTGAGCTCTTGCTGTGTGCTGATTGGTCAGTCTCCTATAATCATGCATGTGTCACTAATGCTAATGTGAAACAGCTGGATGAGTCTTTCAGTCAAGGAAATAAACCAATCAAAGCACAAGAAGAGCTGAACTAATTAGCCGAGCACAGGAGCCTTTCAATTTGAAAGTAGTTTGTAAAACCTGAAGTAGCTCAAAGTGTCCTCCCTGACATGGATTATCTGGTCACCCTAGCTAACAGGCATGCTAACAGGCTTGCTAACAGGTTTGCTAACATATTTGCTAATAGGTTTGCTAACAGGCATGCTAACAGGCATGCTAACAGGCTTGCTAACAGGTTTGCTAACATATTTGCTAATAGGTTTGCTAACAGGCATGCTAACAGGCTTGCTAACAGGCTTGCTAACAGGCATGCTAACAGGTTTGCTAACATATTTGCTAATAGGTTTGCTAACAGACTTGCTAACAGGCTTGCTAACAGGGTTGAAAATCCACATCTGTCTCCCTTCTTGCAGGGAATGAACGAGTCTCTACAAAGTTAAAGTTCCTTGATGTACAAAAGGTCTTTGTTAGAAACGCAGTGAACTTGTGTGGTTCTGTAGCATCACATCATTTTAAAATCTGCTTATTATTCATTTTTCACACTGGGGCTGTAACTTGTGCCAAATTGTGCTGGCATCTGGATTGCGAACGTCAGTGCTTCTCCACATATGCCGGGTCTCCACTGACGATTATTGGCGATTATTAAGCCAGCCGCACATTAGCATAACGTCAATCCACAAATGCTCTCCTGGCTCCGAATCTGCCCAGCATTTTAAGCCACATTACCGCCATGCCATGTACCTTTCTCGATGCCAGCTTAATAATCAGCTGTCCAACACAGGTAACTGTGGTGAGGTCTGTGAATGTCCCGACTGGAAACGGGCCCATGGGTTTGAAAAAAGATGAGTTTCTGTGGAAAAAAGGGGCCTTAATTACTTCACCCATCATATAGTCACAGCATCTAATATGGGCCTCTTTCTCAAAGTCACCCTGGGCTGATTTGGCAGTCGGTTTGTTTCACTTACTGGGCCAATATTTTTTTTCTGCTTCTCGCTCTTTGACAGCCGCTCATTTTCATTTAGAAGAGGAGGACGGAGTGACGGCAAGGGCCAGTAGACAAAAAAATGATTTCTGGATGAGACAAGATCCGTCAGATGGGATGCAGCCATACTCATAGGCATCGCAGGCCGGTGCTATCGCTAATGCGATATCGCTAATCGCAAAGATGGCTGCCTATAAGCCATTGTATGGCAGAATGCTGGAAGTCAGAGTTTCTTATCCCAGACCCCAGGAACCCCCAGACAGTCCACATTTCTGCCCCCCCTAGTTCCCACACCTGTACCTGGTATTCAGTGTTCTTAATTGCTTGGTGGCTTGGTTCAGATTTGCTTTGGAACTGAGTTGAGGAACAGTGCTGTAATTTGACTGAAAGAGTGTGGCAGGATTTTTTTTCTTGAAAATTAACTGATTTTTGTAGTTTCTGTTCATGCTTCAGTTGTCAGGCACATTTAGTGGTGAGGTTCTGCCCAGAATGATGTGGCGGGTGTATTTATATAAGGTGGTAGCTTGACTAGGGACCTAAATGCAACAAAGGTAATTTAACTGTTAAATCTGTAATTTAAATTACTTGTAATTTCAACAGATTTGCTAAATCTGCAATGTATCTAGTTTTGAGTTATGAGGGAATTACAGTTGTACCGTACAAGCGAACAATTTGTGACCCAGCTTCCATACTGCTATTTTGTAACGGATATAACTTGATGATTATTCTGACAAGTGCTTCAAGATGTTATCATGTTCGTCCGCTGTACTGAATATAGCCATGTTTCAAATTTGTCTCACTGAATAACACGTCTGTTGTTTAAGGAAATGAGCCATTTTCACAAGCCTCACCTACAATCCACTCACCACATTAACATAAAAAGTTGTAAGAAATGGATTCCAACTTTTCCTATGGTAAATTTACGAACAATTTCTTGCAAAATGCTTCTTGCTTTTTAAATAACTGTAAAACACCGCTTTCACCATTCCAGCGTACTTTACAAGGGTATTTTTTATGAGCAGAATTAACATAATCAGTCGATAACGCCAGAGACGTAATTAAAGATTAGCTATTAACCTCAATAGCTTAGCAATTCTAAGCACATGTTACTTTGTATATAGCTATTTTTCAGTCATTGGGTCTTAATTAATTTCTTAGTTGTTCCAAGGAAATCTTCTGGAAAATGTGAATTTGATGTGATGCATTAAAATAAAAGAAAAGAGTTCTTGATGAATTTGCCATGTAGTAACAAATTATTGTCGGTAGCCAATTTTCCGAGCACATCGTGTATGAATTCACCATCTTAATTAGCGTATTTTTGTTTTTTCCTCTGCAGAAGCTGAGTTAGATGATAAATATGAATGTAGTTTATGATTGTTATTAAAAATGAGAACAATACAGTATATATAACAGAGCATAATTTACTAAAAATAAAATGAACTGGATAGTAAAGAATGGATGCCAAGTATTGACAGCATCCATTGCTGTAATGGTTTTTGATTGCAGCAGATTGTCCCTGGTGATTCTGTCTGCTGTTAGCAGAGGGGTGTGGCCTCTGAGCTGAGTTATCTGTGTATAGTGTCAAAGCGAAGCATTTGCATTTCCCAGCTCACAGCATTGTTACAGTGAGCTGCTTTGTCTCAGCCTCACTTGTTTATGCTGGTGCCAAGGTGCAGCATCGTCAGATGTGAAGCATCATGCTTGTCAGCTGATTTTAATTATGAAGTTGTCCCTGTGGTGACGAGCTGCTGCACAGACTGAGGCTCCTTGCTATGATGTAGAGCGTGCCACTGTGAATCATCGGGGGGGTGGGAGGGGGGTGGAGGCAGGCAGACGTGCACTGTGATTGTCAGATAAACACAAAAGGAAGACAGATGCTTTCTTGCTAAAGTGGAGTTTATTCTTCAGAAGAGGCTGGATAACTCTCTGCAGATTAACCCTAAACTCACTTATCCTCTCTCCAGGTCCATATATGGGAAAATTAAGGCAATGTACTTGTTACAATTTCATCATCAGGAAGACAGAATTTATCACTCTCGGAAGGGAGTTTATTTCTCTCTTAACTTAAAGTCGCATGTGGCTCACTGTTCACCAGAATGCTTGTGAATGAATTACAGGGATTGCAGGGAGTGTTTCTGGGGTCTCCTCCTTTCCCTCGGTGAGAACATCTCGCAAAACGAGGAACAACTTGCAGAACAGAGACCTTAAGATGGAAACTCACCCTCCTCATCTGTCTGACTGTTCTCTTAATGGTTTATCTTCTCAGACATTAGTCTTCCTTTTTTGCACATGTATCGGGGTCGAGTATGTAATGTGAAGTCTAGTATATTGTAAACAAATGTAGGAAGATGGACGCCATGCTTTTATTACCGAGTTTTACTGGGTCTCCTTGTGCATTCCCACTTTCACCATCTTCCTCTCATTTCTTCATCCAGCTTTCCCTGCACTCTCAGAGATGGTAAACATGTGCAACTTTGCTTGTCACTTGGGCTGTACCCTCACAGGTCTGCCAATTGTACCCTATAGCTGTACTGTAGGTAATTGTACCATTTAAGGTACAGAAATGAACTCTGAGGAACATTTCGGTACCACTGATGAAAATATACAATTACAAGGGTACAGCCCCAGTGACAAGCAAAGGTACAAATTTTTACCCTTTTTTCTGAGAGTGTTTGCCGTGAGAATCACATGTATGCTGCTCTTTGCTGCTTTCTGTTGTGCCCCCTTAGGCCTTAGAGGGGCCCAGTCCATTGGATAAGCAGCCATCAAACACAGGGATCTTCTCCTCTATCCAGGCCCCGCCTGCTTGTCTGTCTTCGGGGAGCGGTGACTGATTCTTGGACCCCCTTCCCACTCTGGACTGTAGAAGATAGCAGGGAAAAAAACAAGAGTTAATTCTGGAAATCCTCGAGACACAGAGCCAGCTTTCTCTTTCTTGTAGGCCTTGAGTGTCGCGGAAGAGGGTGTGGAAATCACTGAGCGAAAACCCTTGAATCAGGGCACAAAACCTTAGACTCTGGGGAGCCTAATTGGTGTTTCTTCAGCAGATTTTTCTGCTTATTCATAGATGGAGTTTTTATGTCCAGTTGATCCATAGAAAGTCTTCTGAAAAATCGGAGCTGTTCGGCAAGTTCGTCAAACTGAGAATGTAAAGCTTTGTAGTTTGTGATAAAGAAAATATCACAGCTGTTAAGAAACATATGAAGATGGCCAGACTCATTCATTCTCGTTTTGGGTGCTAAAATGAAAGGGGTTAATATTAGAAATAGAACCCTACTATGTTTACACTATCTTAAATGCCACAAGCTGTGTAGAGTATTCAGTCAAGTAAGAGGTTGTTGAGTTTGTAGTGGTGACCTTGCTAACGTGCTGTTTTCCATTGTTCTGTTCAGCTTAATGAGACAGGTGTAAGACCGTGAGCACTACCCAGGCTCCGATGCCCCGTCTGAAGCCACTCAGTGTGAATGTGGCTGGTGTTTGGCAGTGAATTATGGACTGGAATCACATGCCAGGCTGTCTGCATTCCTGTAGCATCAGCGCTAGGACTGTGCTGGACAGCTTGATGGACAAACGGGATGGATGAGGGAAACACATTCATCTCATCCATCAGTCACGGCTTTGCTGTCAGTCAGCATAAATACGAGAGTTAGAACAAAGTCATTGTACATCTTATGCTTGCAAAAAAACCATCACTACGGTGTTACACTGGCAGAGTTTGAGATGAATTGAGTACTTCTGCTCACCCACTCAGTTGAAAGAGAGAGACTGACTGTAAATGCATGAGTTACTGTCTGCAGATCAGTCTTCAGAGCGAAATGCTGACAGACCCTTAATTCTACACCTACGCAGCTCCAGCCGCCTGTGGCCGAGGCATTCGTCAGCTCAATGGCTGAAGTGCCCCAAAGCAACTAGCTTCTGATGATGCATGGATCCAGCTGGTCTCTCACTTCACAACTGCCCTTTGCAAAGCTTGCCCCAGGGTATTCCTGGCTTTGAAATCCCATTATGTATAGACAAACAGAGATACTTGTACCATGGCAACACAGACTTATTGAGGAAATAGATTGCTGCACTGTGTAAAAACCGACTATAGACCTGAGATCATTCCATTGGCTCCCCTCTGCGGGAGACAGAGGCTGCAAAGAGGCGTGTGTATTATATCTCACCCCCCTGAATGTTCTCCACCCCCAGAGGGTCTAGACCTGATCAGAGGTCATCAGACACTGTTGCAGCATGGATGTTCACACTCTTGCATGTGGAAATTTTAACCTCAGCATTTTCATTTGTCCATGAGTTGTACCACTTGGACAAAGAATCGAGAACTGAAAGCAAACAGTCAAACAAATATAATCAAACGTATGTGTAGCTGCAACAAAAGTATGTTTTTTTTTAATGAGTTACAAAAATTAACTGTCCCTGCATATTAACATCAATGTCAGATTGATGTCGGGATATTGTATCATCTGATTTTCTGGATCCATCTCATGATTATGTACCTCAGTCATATATAAAACGAGTGCCCTAAGAAATACTAGCAAGGAATAATCATTACAGTCAAAATTATCCTTTTTCTGTTAACTTTAGTCTGATTTTCTCTGGGGTTTCTTAGCCATCGAAATGTGCTTTCATTTGTCATTTAGGGTTGTTTTGGATGCATGACCGTTTACATGAAGAACGGCAGAGAATGTTGACTTTGGCACGAGGGCTCGCATGCACATGGAGACGTTTACACATGTGGAGCTGTGCACTTTTATTATAAAATCCTTTACTCCTGGCACGACTGTGGGGTGTCTTAAACTTGGAAAGCCTTTCAGGAGTGCCATTAGTCGTACACGATAAGGTAGGAATCCTGACATCCTGGCCAGAAAGAACCAAAGCCGTAATCGTGTCCTGAAATAGTGAAACACTAAGGAAACTTTGTAGTGGGGATTGTCTTCTATATAATGTAACCGTAAACCTAGAGAAAAAAGGACTCAGTCAGCATATCCCTGCCACTGGTTAGGGCCTCTGCCAAATTGCTAGGAAAGACTCGGCCATGGAATTTCCTGCTGGTCTGACAGGAATGAAGGTTTCGCTTGTTTTCGAGAAGACTCTCTAGCTGCTTTTCTGTAAAGACCCATGTCTGCATGCAGGGTTGCTGCCGGACACTTGCAGGTACACTAACACCATGTGCATCCATGCACCCGAGATGGAGATGCTCACTTACATTTGTGGAGATTAATTTTGAGCATATGACAGGGGTGATATACACCATCTGTTCTGCAGCTGTCCGGGAGACGTCAGGTAGCCGACACGGCAATATCTGGTGGGAAGGGACACCCGCTGATTCAGTAGAAGGGATACCAGCTTTCGGCTTAGCTAAGATAAAGCCCACTGAAGCTCAAACGTTAGTTATTGGCTGCCTCCAGAATGCTGAAGGCAAGAATATTTGAGAATGAATGTGTGTACTGCTAAGCCACAGCATTAACAAACTGCTACTGACCCCACTTGTTTGTTTGACACATGCACTCACACGAGTGAAATAAGTCAGCGGTCATGTTAATTGTTTTTTATTGTACTTATAAGCATTATGTTTATAAGTGTTAATTTGAAGTTAGAAAAACTGTTATTGTTGCACATCTTGGCGACGGAATTACTTCCAACTCCAGAATGTTTCTGACATGTTGCTTTTAGTTGTTTTAACGCTTTAATCTGCTTACCAGCCTAACAATGCAGGAAGCCATCGCTTAGAACGTCTCTTTGTACCGATTTATAACGTCATAAACCGACAGAACAGTCGTTAAAGCTGATACTCCAAGAGATGCAAATGTTTGGGTTGCCTAAATTTCATGTGGCTGCTATTCGCTTCCCCATTTATTACACTAGAGCATTTGTTTACGAATGCATGAAAATCAGAGTCATTCATAGGAGAAGCGGGAAGTTAGACTGAGTATGTTTCTTCTGTGTTTTACTCTGTCCCGGCCAAGAATAAGGCTTGAGTTGGCAGCTGACTCTTGTGTACCATCGGAAAGATGAGTGCTGCTGAAAAGATAGTTTCTCATCAACCTAAATGGGCAGCCGGCAACTTTCCGGTCATTCAGAGATCAGGGCTCTTTCATCACTGAGGCTTTATCTGTCAGGTCAAACCTGGTTTTGGCAAACAGGTTCCCTCAGAAAGCTGACGTTAGAGGGCTTCTATAGCATATTTCTGGGGTCTTTACCAGTTATCCCAGCTGTCTGTATCTGTCTGGGTTGATCTGAAGAGCAGTGTGGCTTTCAGTCCTTGCAAATGCTGGGAAGCTGCAAGGAATGTTTGGACAATTGCGGAAAATGTCATGTCACCAGCGCAATGGTCCACTGAAGCCTATGACAGGAGGCAAGCAGAACAAGGGCAGTGTGAACCCCCAAGATAGGCCTTCACATTTACATAATTAAGTTATATCCCCCCCAATATCAAACTCTTTCCTAGGGCCTTGCAAGAGCTACAGGTAGAATTTCATTTATCGAGAGGTTCTGCATTGTACAAACAGAGTAAAATAGGATTTGCATTAGATAAAAATTTAGAGGCATAACATTATTAGACTTATTAGGTTTGCTTTGCTGGTACAGTTTAATTCCACCACTTGTACATCTGTCAATACTCTGTTTATTTTGTAGGCAAGGAAAGCCTCAGACTGGACTTTTATAGTGGATTATTGTTAGCTATTAAAGGTTTAGTACCATCTGATTTAGTTTAAATAAATCTTTGTTTGCTTAGCTATGTTCAGAATAATATACACAACTACAGTCCTCCCCAATTCTCTCCAGAAAGTAAACTGTAGAATTTATAAACTATCCAGATAATAGCAGGCATCTTATTTATATTTTCATCAATGCAAACTATAACTGTTTTTCTCAGAACTTGTCTGTTGAGGGTCCTATTTAAAATAAAACTTTTAAAAAGTTGACCTTGGCTGCTTTTTCATGCATTTGCAGTAGGAATTCTGTGCACTGGGACTTTACAGCCCCTCTTTCTCATTCCCAGGGCTTTCCAGGGGATTTCGGTGAGCGAGGGCCCCCAGGGAATGACGGGGAGCCGGTAAGTGAACAAGCGGGGGGTCCCCCCCCCCACTCCGGCTGGGCACGCATTATCACTGTGGTCTCACACCTGCTGTGTTTGTGGGCACTGTGACCTAGTGTAAGCACTAGATATCTCTATAGTTTAATCCTGTAACTCCTCTGTAGCATTACACAGTCTTATTTTCTTTACAATTTCACCATATTGATTGTAAAATTATAAAGTTATATATAGTGCAAATAGGCTGTACTGTTTTAGCTCAGATGAGTATTGTAGAGCTTTCTGTATGTATTCCCTAATGCCTTATGTTAAATTACCAAATTTTCCCTCTATTTTTTTACATATCAGTCAGATTTTTGGGCACCACTTTACAATAAGGCTCCCTTTGCCACTTGTAAATGGTAGTAACTCATTAATAAAAAGAAAACTGTGTTATAACTTGTTTAAAATTGTCTATTAATGAGTTACAAAGTGTTACAACCTAATTAATAACCAGATTATAAACCATTCATAAACTCTTTTTATGGGTAGCCTTATTGTAAAGTGGCATCGATTTTTTGCAAACGCTACCCTTCCCTTGCCAGAATTCTGTATTTAAATATGAATTTATGTACATTTTCTTTCACATCTTTTAAACAAATTACAGTATGACACCAAAAACCACCAAATAAGAAGTAAATTCATTAATCCCTAATTTGTTCCCTATTAGGGCAAATTCAGCCGTTTAATTGGTCTGGTGCAAGCCTTATATCTCATGCCTTATATCTTACATTGTTGGTTGTCCCAGTTGACTGGTGCAACCCAAAAAACACTCAGCACAGCCTCTGCAAAGCAGATATAAGACGCAAGAATGTCATTGTATTTCTTTGATCTTATCCTTTATATTTTCTATGGTAAAGAGGAACTATAATCCAGTCAATCAGAGGCTGAAAGTTTGGGCATCACAAGGATAAATCTCATTGTCATTAGCTGTTAAAACAAAGAATCTCTAAAAATGCGTATGTGCGTGACGCGGGAGCCAGCCCTAACCTGCACATTCTTATGAAGCTGCTTTCAGCCTGTCTGAAAATGTATGGATCAAAGCAGCAGCCTCGTTTTATCAGTCCTTCGATAGCAAAGGCCCCCCCTCAGTGCAGATCACTGTGTATTTGCGGTCTTTGACTTATGTGGTTCTGCTTTTCTTACTCTGGCTATAAAATGCGCCTTTCTGTGTTTGCTCTGAATATCACTGAAGAGATAAATCCGAGAATCAGCTAGTTGTTGCTGCCCGGTAATTCGAAAGCATTAAGCAGACCTACTGTATGTCAGTTGTGGAAGCGCACAACTCTGCGTCTGAGTGTTTGCGCCATACAGTGACGGTTATGGGCTGGATAGAGTGGCACGGTTTGCCTTCCCAGAGGACCATGCACAGCAGCTCCGTCGGCCTCCCTGTATATTTCCAGAACTACACGGAGGAGGAGGTGGAAGTGTGTCCACTAGCTCCTATCTTTTCGGCCTTTAAGAAAAAAGCACTTTCTTTTCATCCTGACCGCCAGCGCGGGAGGAAGTGGTCGTGGCGCTGGGCAGCAGGGCCGCCTCAGCAGAACAACAAGAGTCTCTCTGTCTCCTAAACCAGGCGCCATTCATTAGGCTGGCCGGGGAGATGCGAGGTGCAGATCACACGAGCTATCAAGGGACAGAGGCTGGGGTCTTCCCTCCCACCCTGCCCCCCCCCCGCAGCAGCGCCAAACACTGGGCCTCTCTTCAAACTCTGTTTGTTTAACATAGAGCCCCTAACCTTAGAAACCTGCTCTTTCTCCTAGGGGGGGCTGGGTGCCCCTGGTCCTAATGGAGTTCCTGGACTCATTGTGAGTATAAGCGTGGCATCGGATCCGTCGCTCCCTTCCCGCTCTCTGCACGCTCTCTGCACGCTCTCTGCACGCTCTCTGCACGCTCTCTGCACGCTCACCTTCGCTTACAAACACCTGGCAGTGAAGTTTTTACCTCCAGTTCGCAGCTGGATACAAACACTTTAGGCAAATACGTGTTCCAACTTCACTTATTCCTCCTTAAGATGAAAACTAGGATGGTGTCATTTGAAGGATGAATTTACATTTACTTTACCTCTGTTGTGAGTCTTTCCAGTGTGGATAGTGGATTTCAATTTAAATTTGTTTTTAAAACCTGTTGTTTGGTTTTAAATTAGTTCAACAGAAACCCTTAAAAATTTGCTTGTCCGTTTGTTTTTATACACAGTGTTTTAAATTGGTTGGTTGATGTTTGTTGTGGGTCAGAATGACAGTAGGCTTCAATTTTTTCTCCAGCATTGAACACAGTAAAATGGAAGCACTGGAGGTGAATCGTTTAGATCAGTGTTTCCCAATCTGGTCCTCAGGGACCCGCAGACAGTCCACAGTTTTAGCGATAGCTGCGAGGGAGCAAAAATGTGGACTGTCTGGCAGAGAGCTCAGAGGGAGCAAAAACATGGACAGACTGTGGGTGCCTGAGGACCAGGGTGGGAAACACTGGTTTAGATGCATGCAACTAGATTGAAGCGTTAAATGCAGAGAAGCCATATTCTCCACGGCTAATGAGGGAGCCAGAGCGTTTTAAATTTTTAAAATAAGCTTTCGAAGAGCTTGGAGAATTTACGAACCAGCACCAAGCCACATAATATATGTAGATTATATACTCCCACGTCTGCATTCCATCCTACACTATTCTAAGATGAGTTAATGCCAGTAATTGTGATGTTAGAGACCATCTGATTACAGCTGTTAAAAATGCCGCTCTCCTCCGCTGCAGAATCTGCATCTAATTGGAGGCAGAAAGAGTAAACGTTTTTTTTTTTGTACAGGAAGAAGGAGGCTTACATTCATACATTTATAAATATCCAGGAGAGGGATACAGTGTTTGCTCTTTGGGAATGCTCTGAAATTTGAAGAGTGTTTCTCCATTCAGTGATATTCGTTCTTCTACCGGTGGAAATATATTAGTGATTCATGCGAAAATAGATCCATTTGTGTTTCTGAGACCATTTAAATTATAATAAGTAAGGAAATAGGCTCTCTCAAGTTTCCATCCATGTACATCGTATATTGTGTTCAATCAGGCTGGACTTTTGTGCTTTTATGTTTTAAATTGAGGATGTTAAAATATATTTGTTTATGGTTCTGCAATTAAAATCATAAAGGCTTAATAATAAAGTGTGTTATGTGTTACAGAGGGTGGGTGAGTGTCTGCTGCATCACGCACTGGCATCCTGTCAGGGTCTCCCTGCTTTATACAGCACGGTGGTTCGGTTGCCCATAATGTGTGACTGAGTGTGAGCTTGTGCCGTATCACACGCTGGCACCCTGTCAGGGTCTCCCTGCTTGAGACAGCAAGGTGTCTTGGTTGCCCATAATGTGTGACTGAGTGTGAGCTTGTGCTGTATCACGCGCTGGCGCCCTGTCAGGGTCTCCCTGCTTGAGACAGCAAGGTGTCTTGGTTGCCCATAATGTGTGACTGAGTGTGAGCTTATTCTGTGTCATTTAACTGATGCTCTTTTGCATATGCTTGGTTTTAAATTTTAACAGGACAAAATGTTTGTTTTGTATTAACAGGAACATTCATTAAGAGAGTGCATTTTTGAATAAAGTATTCAACTTTATTATCTTCGTTGTAATCAAATGCATGAAAAAAGCTCAAGCTAAATTTGAAAGCTGATTGCTGATACTAAGTAAGAGTTATTTGGTATTTGGGCAATCCATCCGATTAGTCGATTATTTGTTTTAATAGTCGATAGATTAATCGACTATCAAAATAGTCGTTTCTTGCAGTCCTACTGCAGTGGATAATCACTTATGGAAGATGGATGGATTCTTAGGATCAGGACATACATTAAGATACATGAACATTGATATTAGCTCCCCTATATTAGCTTTCCCTGTGGGCAGACAGTAATGGATCATAATATAATTGCTGCTTGTTAAGAGACATCCAGGGAGGCTTGAAAATTTCCAGTAGGACACAGATAAAATACGGAACTTGATGTTATGGAATGAGAAGCTGCATACAAAAGCAATAAGGTCAATACGAATGAGGAACTAATGGTGGAACTCAGGGAGGAACGCAGGGACGAACGCAAGGAGAAACACACGGAGGAATGCAGGGAGGAACGCAGGGTGGTACGCAGGGAGGAACGCAGGGTGGAACGAAGGGTGAAACGCAGGGAGGTACGCAGGGTGGAACGAAGGGTGAAACGCAGGGTGGAACGCAGGGTGGAACGCAAGGAGGTACGCAGGGTGGATGCAGGGAGGTACGAAGGGTGGAACGCAGGGAGGAACGCAGGGTGGAACGCAGGGAGGAACGCGGGGCACGCTGCTGTCCAGCAACGCAGAGCACTCAGGAATGCTTTCAGCCTGAAGGCTCCTCTCATTCGGACGTGTCAAGGGCACTCGTTATCTCAGCATGTATGCCCAAGAGCCGTGCCCTGCCCTTTCATCTCACCGCTGTCAGACTGAGAGAGAGAGGAGAGGACAGTCATGACTGCCATCTCTGGGTTACCTTTGTCCACGCTGAGCAGGTATTTTCTCACTCTCAAGGTTATGTGAGGTAGATAATCTCCATCTTCCAAACCCATTCAAAACATTCATCTCCATCCTTACCTACAACGCATGCACGTGGGTGTCAGAGTACTTTGCGTGTTTAGGAGGATGGGAGTTTCAGGCCTGATTTGGTCCCTACCGACGCTGAAACCCAAACTATGCCCTTGGGCACCCGCAATGCATTGTGGGCTGCCAGCACACCTGGGTGGAGCAACATGTGCGTTCAGTTGATCGCAGTTGCCTCCCTCCTGCCTGCGCCATCAGCAATGGCCCAGTCTGTACCACAGCTACACTATACCAGTGGCTTATGATGCTTAGTCTGCGGCAGTTTTGCCTGGGGTCAGATATGTCATATTTCCTGCTTTGTCCAAGCCTTTTGTACACAGTTTACAGATGGTGCCCTTTGGGTTGGATAATTCATTCTTTGGAATAATTGCAGTAGTTTTACTCTGGTGCATGCAGGGCATGTTTTTGGAAGCGTGGCAAATGCAGCTCTCAGAGTTATCAGATGCACACAAGGTAGACTTATGTATGTTTATGCCAGTGTAATGTGCTATTGGCAGTGCGTTAACATCTGTCTGTTACCATGACGGGTAAAGATGGGCATAATGCGAGCGGTGAGTCCAAGAGAGACTCAGAGTCTTTAATTAGATGCAGCCCCCTGCTGCTATTCTTTCCTCTCCAAATATTTATCCAGATATAAGCAGAGGCTCTAGTGTATGAAATGAAGACAGGGCAGCTGTCCGGCCGTGATTACACGTAGGATGTTTACTGGTTAATGCAGCAATGTGTGTGTGTCGGGGGGTATCTTTTGAACTTTGGTTCAGAAGTCTTTTCTGATTTATTTTTATGAAAAAGCTTAGGATTTACACAATGTAAGTACTATTGTGTCTGCGCATTGCTCCCCTGGGTTATTTCTGTAGCGAAGTCATTCAGACACTCACTCTCCTGAAGTAAACAAGCTTTAAGTCGTCTTTTCAGACTTTATTCTCCAGAAATGTGAACAACTGAGGAACAGAAGAGTAAAGTTCAGGTTCAGAAAGTAGAAATCCAGGCCAGATTTTGTTTCAACCACCCATTGAGTACTCTGTGACTGTTGCTCTGCATGCTCAGTTGTTTGGTTGAAACAAAATCATGGTCTGGATTTGTACGAAGTGGACCTGACCCTTCCACCTATACTGAATAAGAATGTAGAACTCCAGTAGGAGATGAAAAAACTGGTTTTGTCATCAATAATGAGGATTTTGTGTGTATTGTTTTACAATCCCAAGACTGTCAGAGGGATCTGTGGTTTTGTATCTGTGGCCATCGATTAGCTGCGTGGAGCTTTACCGAAGGATACAGACTGTCCGCCGACTTACAACCTGTGCGACTTACAAGGACTCATACCTACAACTGATGTTTTTCTTTTAATTAAGTAAATGTATGTAAAAACAGACTTGGGGCAGCCATACGTACAGCAGCGCTAGGCTACCTAACGCGCACTGCACAACGTACCATAGTTATTGCAAGAAATCCATCCCAGCCTCACACACACCTCCCAGTCTCACTCTCACACCTAAAAGTCAGTGTGATTGTCCTACTCTGATGTACGCCCATTTCAACGTGCAACCTGTCTTTATGACAGTACAAACTGGCACAACGTTCTACTCAAAAAGCTGCAGATCCACTGAGGTGTGCCAAAAGTCGAGATGCGAAATTGGCCGGTTCCCCGTCGTGCTGGCCTAGCATAATGTAACATGGCTCTTTGTGTCTCTTCTGCTGATAGGGTGACATGGGGCCCGCAGGAGAAATGGGTGAACCAGGACCTCAAGGACTCAAGGTGATTATCACAGTATGCCGGAGGAAATGGCGCCTCATTTAGGCAGGAGTCGTACCGACAGAAAGTTCCACCTCGCCGCGCTCCCGGTGTCCGCTGCCTTTGCCGCTGCCCCCTGAGGAAGCGCACATGTGTTATATAACAGTCTTTTTCACCGGAATAATAAGGCAGTGTGCGCTTGGTACAGTGTTTTCCCCTCATAGCACAAGGAATGTCCCTCAAGACGGCTCAAGATGAAATCTGAATCAGGTTGCCGTAATTTAGAATAGAACACTGTTACTCTCGTGTGGAGCTACATAAGCCTCATATTGGCTGGAGCGATATTTTATTTTTTTTGCTCATTTATTAAATGATTTGATGGGTAGCTCTGGTGATAATGTAATATGTGTTACGGGTATACCGAATGTCCGTCCAGAACAGGTCGGTATAGGGCATGCACACCTTGATGTTAATGTGGTCTGGCTCGTTCGCAGGGAGTGCCCGGAAATCCAGGAGAACCCGGACTGAAAGGTGATAAGGTGATCTGAATGCTCCCTTATTGGCCTGCACGTATGAAGCATGTGACCTGAAAGTGCTCCCTTTTGGTGTCGCACCACCTTCAATGCCATGAGACACACTCTCACACGACGTGTTCATTCTTCTTGTCTCCGGTTCCTCTAACTCGCCACCAGAACATGTCACACCCGCAGTACAGTCACCTGTATTGAAAAGATGCAATACATTTAGTTAGCATGCACCTTTTCTATATTTTATCAGCTGTGGGATTTGAACCAGTGATCTTCTGATCACAGATGCAGCATCCTAAGCCACCCACCCCCCCCCCAAAGATACAAAGCATTAAAACAAGCAGCTCAGCAGACTTCTTCCTCTTAATGTTGACCTTTAAATGGTTCCCTAACCTTGTGAGGGTGACGTACATATAAGACAGATTAACGTCTAAGAGAGAGAAGCCGGGGCAGTCTGAACGATGCTGAGGTTCATCTCCTGCTCTACCTGACTCTCAGCTAATAGCAGAAGTGATGTTCTGTGGTACCCAGATCAGCTGCAGGCAGCACACTGCAGTCACACAAAACAAGACAGTAAAACACACGTTTACTTTCGGTTATTTAGCAGACGGTTCTAACCAAAGTGAGGCACATGGTACATCACAGAGCAGACAAAATCTCAGGGAACTCCAAATCCGGAACACTTTGTTGCCAGTATGTACAAACATGCCAGAACTTTATGTGGTTCGGTGCCAAACATGAAGTACATGAGATACAGGAGAAACACTCCGCGTCACAGTGTATGCGAAACTAAAGAATGCAATAGAATTTACAGACAGTGTAAGACAATGAATTAACATTAGAGTTCCATGAGTACCAAAAATGACTGCAAAGTGCAAGAGTAACATTAAGCTGAGAGCAATATTTTTACGTTATTTTTTTTTTCAGAGCACTGCATATGAATGGAATATACTGCCCATACTTTTAATGTAGTCACTTCTAATTAATTTCAGTTAATACCCTTTTAAAGGTGGTATCCTTTCTATGTGACTGTTTGGAAGATCTGTAAGGAATGTTGTGCTTCTTAAGTCCTCTTTCAGGGTTTTTAATTTGATAAAGGATTTCTCTAAACTTTTGTAATCTTATTTCCTCTCTCCTGTTTTTTTTCTCAGGGTGAAATTGGTCTTCCTGGGGAAAAAGGAGAAGTCGGATTTCAAGGTGACAAGGTACACATCAAACCTTATTTGTGCGAAATTGTGGGAGGAGTTTCTTGCTGCTGCATGCTAGATCTTTTTTCTGATTGGCCGGCTTTGTTATGAGTGGCATTACCTTGTGGCCTTACCTTTGACCGTTTCTTTTGCCTCAATTTCCCAGGGTGCACAGGGTCTGGCGGGAATGCCAGGTATTCGTGGGAAGCCTGGGCCACAGGTGAGCTAGCTGCTTCGAATTAAGCAGATCCTGACCCCATATGAAGTGGTCGCCTGTGTGGCTGAAATTCAAAATTAGAATTAGCTAATAAATAAGAGCAATATTTATAAGTTCATTTGAAAACCTTCATGATTACATTGTCATGCATTTCAGAACTACACCTGAGTAAAGGTCATTAAAGTATTTTGTTTTAGTGTGAATGGTGTGTGTGTGTGTGTGTGTGTGTGTGTGGATTAGGTTTATATTACATTGTGGGGACCAAATGTCCCCCACGATGTAATAAAAACCTGTTATTTTGACGTTATGGGGACCATTTTTCAGTTACTCACAAAGCTCTGTGAATGCAATCAAAAAAGTACAAAGTCTCGTATTTTGTTTGGTTACTTATGGTTAAGGTTAGGGCTGGGTAGGGGTTAAGGTCGTCATGTTGGGATTAGAGTTTTCCCCATAGAAATGAATGGAGAGTCCCCACAAAGATTGGGGGGGGCTACAAGCCTGTGTGTGTGTGTGTCCTGTGATTGGTTGGCACCCCATCCTGGATTATTTCATGCTATGCATCTGCAGTTTCTGGGATAGGCTCCATACCTTCATGACCCTGCATAGGACAAGCGGGGATGGATGGATGGATGGATGGATGGATGGATGGATGGATGGATGGATGGATGAGTAATTTAGTCTGGTGTGGTGAGTTTTGTTTTCCTCTTTCCACAGGGGAAGCTCGGTGATAGAGGCCCTGACGGCTTAGGCGGTCCCCCTGGGCCGGAAGTAAGTACTGTGCTGTTTGATAAGCTCACTGCTGATTGTAAGCTTTGCTCTTTCTTCTAAATCAATACCTATTTAAAATATCAGCCTGGGAAAACTTTGCCTATTTAATAGGACCAGTAGTGAAATGAAAATAAGACTTATGCAGTATGAGCGCACCCTTTATGTATTACACCAGGGTTTAGAAGCTTGCCGCTAACAGCTACAGTAGCTATATATCATTTACTTAGGGAATGTGACACACAACAATCTATCAATGACGAGGTGACAGTATAACCATATTCTCCTGAGACCCAAGGAAAAAAGTGTCCTTCAATTGTAGGTTATTTGTCTTTGGAGGAAATAAGACATCTTACAATTTAGATTTTTTCAAATTTATTTTTATTTTTAATTTCACAGCATTTCCTCTTTAGTGTACAACAGGAATAAATATGTTTCCTTAAATCAGTGAAAGGATAAATGCAAAAACAACATGTCCACTACAACGGACATAAATGAATGGGTGTGGTCTCAGGAGGATATAATCCTCAGCCTGAGTTGTCCTCCACATCCAGTCCAAATCCTTATCTGTGTTTTAGTGAAATATCACATTGATATAGAATAACCTTTATGAAACATGACCTTCACCCAAGAGCAGCTTCTACTGCAGATGCACCATGTTGATATATAGGTAGTAGGAGTCAGTAATGTTATGGTGAAGGATTAAGCTTCTAACCTGAAGGTTGCTGGGTCAAGTCCCAGTTGGGTCCTTGTTATAATACCCATGAGCAAAGTACGGGCTTGTAAAGTTATGGGCTTGTAACCTCTATGATTAACATACAGCAGGGTCTCCTTGGTAAAAGTTCTTGCATTGATCTAGTAATCCACAGCTATAACAGTCTGTATGTGCATGATTTGCACTGACGTATGAGCTAAGCAATGCGATAATAATGATAAAATAATGGCACATGCATCTAGAGATAAGTCTGATGATCTGTTGCACATGGCCATAGGCAGAGTTTTCCTTTTTCACAAGTTTAAGCAAAAATAGCTAAGTAGTATTGCTACCATTGCTGGCATTTTGCCCCTTTCGGTGACCTTAAAATGCAGAGTACAGTAACGGCCTGTCAGCTCCAGGCCTGCAATGCTTGATAATTACGCCCCCTAATGGTGGGCAGATGGCAGCTCAGTGCCCTACTGCTCAGCTTTATCTTCAGTTAGAGGGGAAAGAGCCGTTTCCCATTTCAGCAGCATGGGATGTGTTTCTTGTCTCTAAAACATCTTACATGAAGACATATTTTGGAGATTGATGGTGTTCATCGTTTTAGCCTTCCGTGGTCATCATCGTCATGCTCTCTATATGGAATTGTCCTCGCAGTCACTATAGTGTCACTGCTATCTTTTTTGTGGTATATGGTATACCACACAACCACTGGAATTCCATGCAGATAATGACTTGCTGAAATTCCTCCAATGTTTTTACAGGGTTTTCCAGGGGACATCGGACCACCGGGACAGAATGGTCCGGAAGGACCAAAGGTCAGTTAAGCACAGTTATATACCTGAGGGCCAAATCACTGCTGCTTTTGATTTCCCCGGCCCAGTTTAGCAGAGTTATTATCCTGATTACTGTACCCTGAGTATATGGCAAATCTGCCCATGTCCTTGATGGTACCTGCAGAACAATGGATGGTTAGTAAATGTGTGCTGTGGTACACCAGGGAAAACCAGGCGCAAGAGGCTTGCCAGGTCCGAGAGGGGCAGCTGGATTAGGGGTGAGACAGCTTCCAGGTTTACTCATCCGTCGGCCGTTTTTTATGGAGTGAATCAGCGTATCGTGTTGCAGCCTGGATACTGACATCATTACCGTTTCCAGGGAGACGAAGGGCCAATCGGACCTCCTGGAGCTCCTGGGCTGGAGGTGAGTTTCCGTGAGTTAAAAAAAAGTGAATGTTAATGCTGCATCTGATCAGCAGATCTTTTTTTTGTCATTCTGCACTTGCCCATGTCAGCCAGGCTTGCTATTGGCATGAGGTTTGGGCCGGTCCAGTCCTCATGTGGGGAAACCCTGTGGTCCGGCATGCAGCATTAACTGCGGTCATGTTCACGCTGTACTCGGCTCATAATGTTTTCCGCTAGCGTTTCTCCGTTCTTCCCCGGTTGCATGGCAAACGAGTTATTTTATCAGCAAAACCGCCAAGTAAAGCTACGGGATTTTTTTTTCCCCAAATTCAAGCCGAAACTCGTTCCGATGTCTTATGCCTTATGGCAGTGGTCTCAGACCTTTTTTACACTGAGAGCCACTTTTACAAAGAAATTAATTTGGGAAGCAATGTTTTTTTTTTTTTGCTGATCAGGGTGTGGGGAGAGTTCCCCTTGATAGATTTTGACAATCGGAGGAGGGGGTTGGGAGAATCAACTATGAATATATTCATGATCGATTGATTACAAAATCTGAATCTTTTATACCTGTGTACAAGCAGTCAGGTATTTGGATTGATTAATAATGTCTGATTCATGCTGCTCATCTCCTGGTTCTGCCTCTTCATAGACCAGTGAGGGGGCTCCCCAGCTTCATCCGCCCAGTATTAGTGGGTAGTTCCTTCATTATTGGTGCTCAGCAACGTTATTGCAAGGCTGAGCAGCAAAGCTTGCAGCCGATGCGTTGGACCCACGCAGAGTTTGCTCTATTAATGCTGGGTGGCTTGATTGCTCCTGTGTACGGCTGATGGCTCCTACCTTATGTGTTATGCTTTCTGGGTAAAGGTTCAGGGTCACAGCGACCTCGCACTGGATACGGTCACTGGAAATGGCTGGATGAATGGTCCGTTCTGGAAAATGTAATGTTGGAAACTAAGGCTTAGATTTCAAAGAGCGGACACTGTGGTCCTGACATGCATGGTTGCATTGTTTTAGGGGGTCATCAAATTCCTGAGAATCCCCCCCCCCCTGTCTCTTTAAAGAAACCGTCCTTCCTGATTGTGGGAAAGTCAGTAGGTTTCTGCACCAATTACACGCCCGCTAAAGTGCCGATTATCTCAGTAGCCGGGAAATCCGTTCTATCACTGGATAAACATCTGTTTTCTGTAGTGGACTGTTCATCTGGACCGGGCTCAATATCCACCAGAATCTAAAAATAGAGCATCGCCTGGGCCCGTTTCACTGCGATCTGATCCACCGCGCACCCCTGAACTTGTTCAATACAAAAAGATGAAGTCACTTTGTTCCAGGAACGAGCAACAATTGCTCATTGTGAACAACGAAGACAGATGCCTTTCCAAAGAAGAGTAGTCATCACTGTAAAGCTCTGTAGTAATTAAGTGTACAAACAGTTTTCAAAAAGTCTCTAGGGCTATTAAGCATTTTTCGAGAGGATGAATTTATAAAAGCAGCCGCCAACGTAAATGCTGCAGTGGGCCAATAAATACAATCCCGTGGAAGTGGCACGCGTGGAAATATTTCCATGTGCTGCTTGGCTTAACTCATTTAAGTTGCCATCGATTCATATTCCCTAGAGTTCATTATCAGCGGCGGCTCAGCGTGAACATACTATCCACAGGTCTGGGCAAAGGCAGATTTATACTTGTTATTCGCTATTGACGGCTTTTTGTGCTTTTTCGTTCAGGGTAGACCTGGAAGGAAAGGTTTCCCTGGCAGTCTTGGCCCTGATGGCGTAAAGGTGAGCCTCATTTTCTGGAGACATCATTCATCTCGCAGGTCCAGTATCCCATCTGTCATTTAACACTAATGATAAACGGCTAAAGGATGTTAATTAGTTGTGAGTTTTCACAGTCATACAAAATGCTCACTACCCAGTAGTGGCCTATTGTCTTTGGAATTAAAGCAGAGGCTAATTTGACTCCATTCTGTGAACATTCTGGTCGCCGTGTGTCAGGGAAGCGGGGAAGCATTGTTAATCACGCTTTGTCATTTAGGGAGAGCCAGGAATAACCGGGAAGGCTGGGACCGTTGGAGAAAGGGTAAGACCCCCCCGCCAGTGGGAGACGCTTCGTGCACCAGTCAGGCAGTGCTTACTGTGAGCTGTGAGCGACACCGCGGCTCTGTGTTTCTCCAGGGCCTCCCCGGATTCATTGGTCCTGTAGGAGAACCTGGGATTGCAGGAGAGAAGGTATGAGAGGCTGTAGAACCACCTCGTAAGAACCCTGCAGGGGACGGCTTTTAGTCGTCTGCATCGTTTCGCTAAACTAGGAGGAGACGAATAGCTCTCTCACGGTGGCCGGACCGCCACGCCCCTGTGGTTCTGGGGGGGTCTGCACTGCCCAGCTTGTGTGAACAACGGCGCTTTTGCTAGTCGCCGTGCCAAATGCACTGACTGAGGGGTCTGTGTGTTTTCAGGGTGACCGGGGGGAGATGGGCCTCCCAGGGCCCCCAGGCGAAAAGGGAGCAATGGTAAGGAGACGGGGCCCAGCTGTGCTGGGGGGGGGTCACAGAGCTCGGCTGAGCTGAAGGGAAGTGGGGGCACTTCCTGTTTACCTTTGGTTCACACGGGACGGCGTCTTGGGGGCAGGCTCAGGTCAGGGGTTCAGGGACGTGGGCAGAGTTTACCAACTACAGTTAAAATGATAAACCTTATGCATGAAATACTTTGATCCAAGCTTTGATCCGCTGATACAGACTTACGGGCAGAGTGGCCACTGGGAGTCTCAGGGCAGACCCTGGGAAGTGTCTTTCCATGCGGCACCATTCTGGTGGAATTCTCTGTCCAGTTTAAAACCCTCCCTCTACAAATCGAACGATCTGGGCCTCATTACAGCCTTGAGTGCTGCCGTGATGAAAGATCAGCAGCTTCTGCTCATTGCCCACTGATTCAGCTCAGTGTTGCCAGGTTTGCGCCCCCTTTCCTGTACCGTTACGGAGCATGGGTGCCCCAATGACACGGCACCTTAGTGGAAGATCTCTGCACTGAAACCTATTAGAAGTTCTAACATAAAGCAGATCTCCATCCAGTGATCTTGTTCATCTTAAAAATGTCTTTTAAAATGGCTTGAATGATATTTCTTTCTTTGAGAATTAAACAAGAAGCTGCCTCTCACGGGGCTAGATACTCCACTGTCCTCCTGCTCTGAATTTCATTTAAATTCACTGCAGCACTTGTTCTGCTTCAGAACTCAGAATTCAGTATAATAACCATGAAATGATAATGAGAATAGGAATAATGCAACTTCATATTGCTTGCTGGAGAGGCACTGCAGAGGCAAAGCCTGTTTTCTGAAAGTGTGGCTAATGGATTGAAGATACTGTTGTGGACAAGCAAAAATATGTGTTTAATTGACTTTTAGTAATAATGTGAAACATATTTCACAAACACAAAGTGATTTATGTAAGATCACACATGTAATGATGCTGAGCATTTACTTTAAATATGATTCTGGTCTTCATTATCAAACATGACCTCTTTTCTAACTGAAACTTGTTGACTGAAGTCTATTAAAACTTCTCATAACCAGCAAGAAGGCATTCACATAGCAACCTGTTGATGATTACATCTGGGTAACATGCAGAGAGAATCCACAACTTCAGAAATGCATCCGGCAGAAGTATAATACGAGTATTCTGTGCACCCGGGAATCTAGGCACAAATTTTGTATGTGGAAAAAAGATTCATAATATCAGTTCTTTCGGTCATGCATTCCAGAACTACACTTGAGTAAAGGTCATTACAGTTTATTGTTTGAGTATCATGTGTGTGAATGGTGTGTGCACTGTAAGGGTTGGTGCCCCATTCTGGGTTATTCCCTGCCTTGTGCCCGTAGCCTCTGGGATGGGCTCCAGACCCCCCAACTGTGCATGGGTACAGAAAATGGATGGATGGATGGATTACATTCTGTAGCACTTTACATTCACTGCACTTTCATAATGCACTCATTATGCATTTAGATATCATTCGATGCACCTTCACAATGCATTCACAGAGCATTCATACAACATTGATAATCAGCATGTAAGTATAAAATCTTAACATGCCTTAACAGCTTTAACATACAGTACAATAATAATAAACATTATATTATTACAGGATTATGACAATTCCTATTATCATATAGTGCTTGTTATTATTGTACTATATATTAAAGCTGCAAAGGTGTGTTAGGATGTTAAGGATTCCTTACATGTCGCTTATGAATATTCTATGAAAGCATTATAAAGGCATTTCATTGTACTGTGTACAATGACAGTAAAGGATCTGAATCTGAATCTGGATTATAGTGGTGCAGTTCATGTAAAGTGTAACCTTACATTACAATAAACCTTCATTGACTGGTTTGTGCTTCAATCAGTTACAGACCATTGTTTAAGAAGGCCTAGTATATTTATTAAGGTATTGAACTTTTAAGTAGACCTGACTATTTCAGATACTATGATGGAAATGGTACTGCAATTGTAATTTTAAGCCCAGGCATCTTCCAGCTGCTTATCCCGATCAGAGTGACAGGGGCCTGGATCCGATCCCAGGCATCACAGAACGCGAGGCTGGATAAATGCCATTTCATCACAGGGCACATATGTGCACACACGCTATCATACAGTGCCGGCAAACTCACGTGACAGAGGGGGAGCATGCAATCTCTACTCACACTTTGAGCAGAGGTGAGATTTGCAGCCCTGCCTGCAGCAGTGATCCTGGCTGAGCCAGTGTACCTCGCAGTTTTAAGGTTTTTATGATAGTGTTGTACAGTATATAGCAATTCTAGATGATTGCTTTCAACACCCGGGCAGCAGCTTTGGACTCAGAAATCACTGAAGCACTCATGAGATATATCATGAAAACCACATTTCAGTTTGTTTATTTATATTTTAAATGGATTCAATTCTGTTAAATCAGGGGTGGCCAATCTCACCCAGAAAGGGCCGGTGTGTATGCGGGTTTTCGCTGCAGCTCCCTAATTAGGTCACTAATCAGAGGACTGATTGGCTGAGGAGTCCTCACACCTGGGTTTGGACAGCTGACCTACAGGTTATCCCAAAAACCTGCACACACACCGGCCCTTTGCGGGTAAGATTGGCCACCGCTGTGTTAAATAATCTTACTGGAATCTGACTAATCTAATCTTTCTTCAGTTTCATTGTACTGTACTATATTGCTACATCCTAAACTTTTGGAATTTTAGATACTTGTAGGTCTATTAATGTCATTAACTGGAATAGTTGGAAGATGGTAATACAGCATTTTATTTAGCGTTTTTAAATCATATCCATATCCTTCGTGTCCGTGAACACATTGGGTGTCTTCCGTTAAAAGCTGTTCTTTCACTGTCAGTTTAGAAATGGGTGGCATTCTGACAAAATGGGATTAATCACAAACATGTACTGAAAGTGCAAATGAGATTATAAGCGATTATCTCCCTTGTATAACACAGATAACATTTATGTCTTTGGCTTATATGGCTTTGGTGACTTTCCAGCGTGCAGAATAATTCAGCAGATGTTCAAACCACACACCAGAACTGGGCATCCGTGTTACAGTTCACTGAATTTACGTGACCAGTCGTAGTTGGGGTTACCACGGCAATTTGTTTTCTTTTATTGCTGAATGCTTTGGGGGGGGGGGTTCTTATTGCTTTTACTGGCAAAAAAAAGGGAAATGGAACCGTGGGCGATCTCGTTTTCTGCTGTTGATGCGTCTCCTGCTCTGTCTTAGGGACACCCAGGACCCCCAGGTGAAAGTGGCCCCTCAGGGCCCCCAGGAAAACCAGTAAGCTGATCTCTTAATAATGTGTTTATAATGGTTTTGTATAATGTCTCGAATAAAGATTTTTTAGTTTGTTTTTGTGGCTTATTTTGATTTGAATTGAGCCAACGCTGGTGTGACCCTACTTTAGATTCCCCTGAATGTGTCTAATAGGATTCCTTATGAAAAGTTTTTCCATGGTCTTGTTAAAATAAAAGAAGCAAAATTACAACCACATAGCCATGTTTGTCCAGTGGGGTTTAATGTCCTCACACTCAAATGGCACCATTGAGTGTAAATTCAGATCCATTCATTGCACTCCTGAACATTATCGTCAGATAATATTCCCAGACTCAAATCTTCCTCTGTGTATGGAACCGCAGCCAGAGTTCACACCATAGATAACTGGCAGCAGTTTAAAATGGCGGGGGGGGGGGTTCTTCTTTTTCCATTAGAAGCCAAGAACTGAAGTGGAATCTCCACTTAAGACAGAAGTTCCTTTTTTGTCTGCTTATTATCGGCAACTTCGTGGGTTGATGGAATCCGGCAGTCACCAGCAGTAGCCGGTTATATCTTGCCAGTTTGAGCTTCAGCACCTCCGACTAATTCGCCCCCCGCCGCCCTCTGCGCGCTCCGTGCCTGTCTCTCCATTCTTGCTTTAACCGCGCGGTAAGCTGACATTGCAGTTGTGACAGGAAATGCCTCTTCGTGCGGCTTGAGTGAGCTCCAGCTGAGGCTGTAGCCGAGCCGCCGACGGCGGCGTAAACACTGCACCGTAACCAGTGGCCCTTCGTCTCCACGATCTTAATTATGATGAGCAAAAACTTCATCGCAAGCCTGCTCTCCCGGAGATGAACCTCTTGGTCAGAAAAAGGCCAGAGTCTTCCTTCTGCTGAGACTCAGGCCTCATAACATGTTTATTTTTCCTTTGTTTTTGCAGGGGTCTCTTGGGTCGCGGGGGCCAGTTGGCACTAGGGGACCCAAAGGCAGACGGGTAAGATCAACTCAAGCAGTCTGTTGTTTTGTTGCATCTCGTGGACCCCCAGTGAACAGAATTGTCAGTAAGCTGCCTATCAGCAGCACCCAGGTCTCAGTGAGGCTGAAAGAGGGACAGAAAGCGAGTCGGGAGGCACTGATGTAAGCCGGTGTGACTCTGCCTCTTTGTGGTTTCGCCCCGCCACTAGAGGCCGCCACTAGAGGCATAAGTCGCCAGGTGTTAAAGAATGGGAGACATTAAGGGAGCAAATCTAGCCGGGTCCTGCAGCGCATGCCATCCCAATACGTCACTGGGATGGAGACTCCGCACTGGTGCAGCACAGGGATTGCTGCTAAAGAACACAGCAGCAGAGCAGGTATTAGTGACACTTCATCTGCGCAAAGGACATTTTCATAACGGCAGCGTTACCAATTTAACATACGTTTTTAATATACAATTAGGTGTTTTAATAGAGTTTCTTGTAGAATAGATCACCATTTCATTTTAGCATGTCTCTGCTGAAGGAAAATATTGAACAGCATTGGGCAAAGCCAGCCATTATTGGGCTGCCCGTTATGTGAATGAAGTCATTGTGTGTTAACTGGAAACAAAAACTTATAGAGCATGTTACCAGCACCTTTTATGAAGAATGGAACCTTTTTCCACCGAGGAACGTCAAGCCACATTATAATTCTGGAAGAGATTCAGGCACATTAAACAGGGTTTTTCTTCCTGTCAGAAGTGCATTAATGAAAACGTTAATGATACGCATAAGGTTTAAGATGGCCGCGCTCTTCTTGAACGGGCAGTGTGCTTTTATAGAGCCCCTGATGACATTCGAGGGCAAATGTTGCTTTTCTGTTTCGTGTTAAACGGGCAATTGGCGGTACTATATTTTTATTTCTGATTTTGGTAGTGCTGAGAAGTGAAGCCGTGATGTTTATATGGAACAAGACAGGCCTTTTGTCAAGGGCCTGGCCGATCTCCACAGCCTGACTACTGCAGAAGCAGAGAGAACTGAGAGGGCGGCTTTCTGGCTCGTCCAGCATGCGGTGCGGAGCTGGAGATGTTCTGAGCCACTCTCCCCTTGGCCCTGGGACAGTTTTCCTTTGTTTGCTTCATTTCAATGCGGTGGATTTCTGGTGTGTGTCCCTGAGAGTGACAGTCACTGAATGTGTGGAATTTCAAATGACGCTGCGGGGAGCTGGGACTCAGGCCGTCCTGCCGATCTGTGGACCCCGCAAGCCCATTGCAGTCTGGCGCGGCGAGTTTACGGCACAGCGGTTTACCGTATCAGTCAACAGGGAAAGCCGCGTGACAGTACTCTGGTGATTAATTGCTCAACGGATATTAGCGGTTACACAGAAGACATTGTGAGGGCTTCTTGTCTTCTTATGGTCGATTGATTCACATATTTTTCCATCTGCCAGGTAGGATGGAGTAATACGAGGCTTAAGAAGGAAGAAATCAGACACCATGTTCTTTTCACAGGACAGAAATGTAAAATCACTGTATTTCCAATTAATTATAATTGAAGGCATTTCCTCGCACGATAAATCTGACTGGCCGCCTTAAGTGCAGCATTCCAGCCGCACACATGCAGACAGACGCAAAGAGGCCGTCTGAGTTTAGGGGAAATGTCTTTGAAAGGCCGTAAACTCCGTCTCTGGTCAGATGGGTAGCCGGCGCTGCGGTTTCCCCCCATGAGGTAAAGCGGGGGCTGGTGCGGTGTGTGCTGTTAGCGCGCTCGTCTCCTCTCCGTCCAAAAACAACGGGCATAATTCCCGCTCATTTCCCACGAGCATCGTTCCGTTCCGGCTGCGGCCTTCTTCATCTCCCCGCTCCTCTTGTTCCCGAAGCCGGCTCCATTCCGCTGAGGCCCGCGCCTCCCATCCACAGAGGTGTAGCGGATGCACTCAAGGCTCGACTTCCATCGGTTAGCACCGGATCCGATCAACGCTGTGCTCAGATGGGACTTGTTTGGCTCTTGAAACACCGTTGCGCTGCATGGCCTGAAGTCTTTATGTAAGTGTAATGGGGAGATTTTCGTGGAGTTTCATCATGGAAACATGTACCGAACACGAAATCGTCCCAGAAAGACTGGGAAGGGGGGCAAACCGCCGCTGCAATAAACCACGATAGTGACCACCACAGCACGTCCAAACAACGCTCAGTAACTAAGGAACTTACGTGCTTACGACTTACCACAAACTTAAAGCCAATTACTTCCACATTTGCTTCCATCATATCCAGTGCCCTTTGGTTTATACCTGTCTGTGTGATTTTTGGTGGTTTGGGAAATCGTCCTTAAACTGTCAATGCTCATGTGTGGGGTTGTGTGCGAGGGGGGTGAGTGACACAGGATCCCCAAGAAAGGTGTCAAGGAATTGCTCAGCAAAAAGCAACAGAAACGCACACACAGAAGGCTGGTGGAACACACTGACAGAGTTCTTGGGAAGACTTTGCACTACAGGCTGTTTGTCTAAAAGAATAAACAATTAGCTTACATGCAGTTATTTTCTTGTTCGGCCCTGACAGTGGAAATACTCTGATATTTTGCTGCTCTAGCATTCATGATATTTTAATAGTAATATACGATTGTTTCAACAATAGAACTTGCCCTGCACACACAATGTAATAACAGACACAGCGTTACTTTTTGTCGCCCAACGTTCAAGTCACATCTCCCTTGTAAAATTCAGGAGGATATCACTGGTTTATCTGTGGGAAGACTGGGATATGATCCTCGGGAGCTTACTGGGATATGTGGAAGGCTGTTGGGAGGTTTTAGACAATGGTCAGGTTCTCAGTCCGCATTGTCAGGGGGGGCTGTCTGCTCAGCCCCCGAGAGGGTCAGAGCCATGGCCATTTGTCAGCATTAGCCCCTTATATGACCTCCCGCTGGACCGGAGGCCAGTTATGTTCTCTTAGGGGTTTGAGCAAAGCAGCAGCGCCATGTGGCCTCGTTGGAAACATTTCAGGCTCATTGGAGATGGTCATTAGCTCTTTATAATAAATACACCGTTTGTCCTTGTGGTTGAAGTTAAATTTCCAAAGTTATTAACAATATGATAACATAAATTACACAATCAGTGGTAGTATATTTAGTATATAGCATATTTTAATTAGTCCACAATAATAAATGTAGCAATAATAATCCTGAAAACAGCTGTGACCTACACAGTCATGCATAGTGGTACAGTGAGACTGCTGAGTGTGAATCTATGAGGATCAGGCAATGATTCATTTTAACAGAGAAGAGGCTAGAATCATGACTCATTAGCAATATTTCTGTGAAATCTACTTCATAAGCACTTTCTGTGTGCTTGCTGCGTTTGGTGGTTGTTTTTAGCTTTTAGAGAGGGTGGGGTACGCCACTGTGATCTGTTATGTATTCATAAGGTCTGCACATGTTATAATTTGATAGGAATCGTATTTCCCCCAGCCCCCCCCCCCCCATCACATTCTTTTCTAATTGTTTCTCCACCACTGTGTGGAACAACCCACTATTAAGGTGTCATTCTTGGCGTTGTGTCTTGGTAAACAAAGCTACAATTCAGCTGCTGATTTTCCTTTTCAACCTGCTCCTTTGTTTCATTTTTTCGTAAGAAAAGCTGCACCATTTTCATTGGCTTTCTACCATTAAGTTCTACCAGGGAATCTATCTGTTGGTTGGAACTTCAAAATAAGAAAGAACCTTCCTCCCAGCAGTCAGTGAGGAACTGTTTGTTTTTCCCAATAAGAAGCTTCATGTTATCTGTCTGTCATGCTTAATCACTCCATCCCAGCTGTAGTTTAGTGTACAGTATGTCTGTCTGTGGTTTATGATGTACAGTCATGCAGAAATACCCCAAACATCATCACTGCCTAGCTGCCCTCTGCCAAGAGGGACAGTAAATGGTGGATGGATCTCAGCACCAGTCAGACTGGGTCTTGTCCATTACTGGAGATTGTTACCACATGCTGATCACTACTGATACTATTAACCCCTCTGGATCACTCACATGTCAAACGTAAAAAATGTGCAGCCATTCTTCTGAAGCTTGTGTAAGCGACAGTGAGAGAGATACTGGACTCTGGCATTGCATTGTTGTGGGACAGAAATGACCCGGAACCCAGACTCTGCAACTCTGTCTGGCTGCACAAGAGTGCCCCCTGCTGTTCACACCCACCCTGCTGTCTCTTCTAGGGTGCCAGAGGGCTTGACGGTCTGCCAGGCGAGCAGGGGTCGGCGGGCGCAAAGGTAAATGTCACCGTGGGTCATGCTCGATAAACATGTAGTAACCGCCTCGGTATTTGGGGGACCTGACTGTGCTGGCCAGTGCTGTGAGCATGCAGAGTGGGGGGTATGTTAGGAAAATGCAGGCCTGCATACAGACATGCTTCATGCAAAGTGGGGGGTATGTTAGGAAAATGCAGGCCTGCATACAGACATGCTTCATGCAAAGTGGGGGGTATGTTAGGAAAATGTATTCCTCTGTACAGACATGCTTCATGCAAAGTGGGGGGTATGTTAGGAAAATGTATTCCTCTGTACAGACATGCTTCATG